AAACATTAACAGTCTTTGTCTTTGCAGGGCAACTTTCATCTCCGCCCTCGTCTTCCTCCTCGCCGTGATGGGCGGGACTTCCCCTGCTGCCAGTCAGTCCGGCGCTCCGACAGGTAGGTGACAGCTGTGACAGGCGGGATGAGATCGGAGCTCCTCGGGGGGTCGAGTCAGTGACTCAAATGCATTTTTTGTCTTTCGGCAGCAGCGAAGCAGAAAAGATAAAAATCTGGGTGCACATTCGTTTTAAAAGCTTCAGGTAATTCTCATGTAGAGGCACAGGAGTGAGGATGAAGTGTGGATTTGGATTCTTTCTACGCTGAAGGGAACTGAGAGGGACACAAACGAGTGCCGTGTTTTCCTCTACGAGTCTCTCGGGTCTGCTTAACTGAAAATCTTTCTTGTTTCTGTGCTGCAACTCTGCAGAAGTGAGGTTAATTAAAAGTCGGAGCTCTCGCCCTGTGGGACGGCGAATGGATGGTTCCTGAGCGAGGAGCCTCATTTGTAACGCTGTCGGAGGGTGGAGGGGAGGCGGGGGTGGGCAGTGGGAGGTCAGTGTAGAGGAGGTAAAGTGAGGAGGAGGGGAGGGGACGCTGCAAGCGGAAAAGCTGCTCTCTTCAAACGTGCCATAAATCAACCGTTTCAAAAACAACAACATGTGATTTTAAATTTCACCCTGAAGGTCGCGAGTTTCCCTCCACGCTCACACTGCAGACACACACGACGGAGGGTGACCCGCACATCCACACAGCAGATCTGTTTATAGAGACTAAACAGGGCCTGATAACGATGATTAAAAGCTCAGATGTTTGGGTGTAATAGTCGTTTAAAGACCTGCAGAATAACTAAAACCAAGAAATAAACGTCATCTGGACGATGCTGATGTATGTAGATGTCACCTGATGTGTAACATCCCTGATTGGTTAATTAATAAAAGCTATTTTTGACGTCTGCAGATCTTTCTGACGAGTTGCAGATCAATGTTAAACTGTTTCAACCAGATTATTGATCCCATCTGCAGAAGCATCACAAACACAGCGACGCCATCACTGTAGTCCTATTATCCTCATACAGATCGCTGGGACTGAAGCTAAACACTGCAGCTTGTTACGGGCGGATGGGTGGTGTGTGTGTCGGGAGGTGGAGAGGTAGGATCAGACTGGAGGCATTAGAGTAGATGGATGGATGGATATCGAGGGAGGAGGACGGGAAGAGGTGGACGGATGCTGGAGAAGGTTTTAATAGAAAGACGAATACGCCGGCCGGGAAAACCTGACAGGTCAATTACCAACACGCACACTCGATCCAGCTCCGTACAGGCGGGGCACCGAGCCTCCATTAATCCAGTGTTCACCATCCCGAAACCCACCTGCACTTCAGTTTCTCAAACTGAGGCTCGGGACCCCAGACGAGCCGCTGGACGAGCCACAAAATCGAAACAGTTTCTGTTGTTGGATTCGTCTCATTAGCGGGATTGTAATGCATGAATTACCTGGTTTCTATGGTTACAGAGGTCCCACTGATCCCTGATAATGTTTTGCACCTTCAGTTTCAGTTTAAACTGTGAGGCGGGGTCTTAAATGCGATTTTAAGGGTATTTCCTGTGCTTAGGTGGGTTTAGGGGTCGCACACTTCTACAAAGCGTCTGCTCCTCGTGGTGGATGAGAGTCATCCTCATTATTATCCCATGCTGTGCTGAACAGCAATCATCTTTATCCTCCATTTAAGTCATTCGGTCATTATAGATGAGGTGCTTGAAGAGCGAGCTGAGTGTAATCCGACTGACTGATTGGCCTCGGGTCAGTGCTGAGACCGCTGCTCGATTAAATCAATTGAGGGAAAATTGGTCTGCGCTAATTTTGATGATCAATCGGTAATTTAAGTCCTGCTTACGATAAAAATCCTGGATGAGGGTTTGCACTTTCTCTTTTTAGTTACAGCCATCAGTTAGAGCTGTTTCATCGTCACTGCAGGAGAATTACATCAGCTATAAACGCTACAGCACTGATGGCTTAATGACATCTCATTCAGCTTTGGTAAAATTCACCCTGCAGTGTTTTTCCTGTTCCACCTTTATATGATTTTCATAAGCAGAGACAGTGACGGCAATCTGGAGCTTAAGCAGATGTTCGTGTCATTTCTATGCTGATGATATTTTATTGTCTGTTTCTGTAAGAGTGCAGTTCACAGAGTATCACAGAAAATCCCCGATGCTCATTTTTTGCTTTGAGCTTCATGTAATAAAAAGCTCGTGATTCAATTCAATTCAATTCAATTTTATTTATATAGCGCCAAATCACAACAAAAGTCACCTCAAGGTGCTTCATAGATACAGAGAAAAACCCAACAATCATATGACCCCCTATGAGCAAGCACTTTGGCGACAGTGGGAAGGAAAAACTCCCTTTTAACAGGAAGAAACCTCCGGCAGAACCAGGCTCAGGGAGGGGAGGGGCCATCTGCTGTGATTGGTTGGGGTGAGAGAAGGAAGACAGTATAAAAGACATGTCAGTGAGCGTTTCGCCTGCAGTAGAAACGTATCAAAGAGCGTGCCTGTGACTAAGATGATGATGTCATAGTTAAACACGCTGCACCCATTGGTCTACGCGCACTCGGCAGAGAGCAAAGAGGCGGAGCTGTTACCGAGTCGTTGAGCTCAGGTTAAGAGAAAGAGATGATTTTGATGTTTCACTTAACCCGAGACCTTCATCACCTTCAGCTTCTTCACCCACCGCCGTCATACCTGCAGCAGGCAGGGCTGAGTCTAAAGGGGGGCGTGGGGTGTGCACATTCAGTCAAAGGCTTCCAGATTACTAGAATAATAAATAAATAAAATATTAATGAAGTTGTTTTCATATTTACAAAATATAAAAATAAACATTGAGTGAGGCCCGTTTGGCTTTATTCATATTATTAATATCTGTTATTAACATCTGCATCATCACAACATCTGCATCATCACAACATCTGCATCATCACAACATCTGCTTTCTGCAGCAGGAAAAATTTCATCAATTCAATTTTATTTATATAGCGCCAAATCACAACAAATGTCGCCTCACACACTCACAGGACACACACACACACACACACATACACACACACACACACACCATCCAGGCACAGTCAGAACTCTATTTTTGTAAGGAAATGAATAAATCCTGTTTTTATTGCATACATTGCAGGTTGCATGTTTCCATCGTACAGAGGCGACAGAGCTGCTCAGAGGTCAAGCAGAAAAATAAAGGCAGTCACATATTTTTGCCGTATTTCTGTGTATGTTTCTCCAAGTTTCAATAAATCGCTGCACCTATTTCCAATTTTCCTGCCCAACATAAAGGAACGAGGCGTGACTGTTGCACAGCTCCGTGTGGGGCTGATGCAGAGGTGCTGGCCCTGTTCTCTCTCCTCAGCTTTCCAAACATACGAGAGGCTAAAAAGCCACAACAAATGTTTTCTGTGTTACATAATCTGGTTCCCACACTAACTTTAAAGAAGTAAAAAAGGTCTCAGTGGGCTGTGGACATGTGAGGCTGCAGTCATGATAATCTGTGTCTGTCTGAGTGCCAGATGCTGATGTCTGTGTTTCCCAGCTGGACGCTGGGATATTCGGAGCCTGGAGGTCGGGGTCAGAAATCTCTGA